TCCCTGGTCTCAGAGCTCCTCAGTTTCCACAAAAACAGATGCCGAGGGAAGACGCGAGAAAAGACCGCCGCCGACGAAGGCAACACATGCCTAGGCCCAGGCGTCGCGGGGCCTCCAGCGTTCCCGGGCACCAGCCGGTGAGTTACATAACGGGCCGCGAGGCGCGGTCTCGCGATGTTTGCACCGCCCCGCCCCCCGCTCCACGAAAGAAGGAAGCGGGCGGAGCGGCCAACATGGCGGAACGCAGGCGACACAAGAAGCGGATCCAGGTAGCAAAGCAGAGCCCTGGGTAGGGGGCTTCAGGGTGCTCAGAAGTGAAAGAAGTGGGGAAAGCCCCCTAGAAGGGCGAGCGAAACTGAGGGCGAGGTGGGGTGGGATGAGGCCGCGAGGCCGCGGGCTTTAGGGTGCGTCGCTGTGAGGGGCCTGAGGGGGGGGTAGTGTTGGCGACGGCGGAGACCGAGACGGAGGTGGCGGGGCCACGGGAGAAGGAAGGAGGCGCCGCGCTAGCAATCCAGACGGGAAGGCAAGGCTACCCGCCCGGCCCCCGATTCTTGTGGCTGTGCCGACCCGGGCCTGTGTTCGGAGGTCAGCCTCCTCCGGAGCGCAGACACAGACCCTACCTAAGACCTCCTCTCCTCCCTCCACCGTTCCATTCTCTCTCCTTAGCTATCTTAAAATCAAGGCCACGGTAATTAGGGTGAAAGGAGGCAGACGACTGACCTAAAGCAGCCTGTTCTTTGTGCGTAAATAGAAAAGGACCTTAGGAGGGGGAGTGATGTGTGCTTGGTCAGCTGCCCCTTGGGGACCAGGCGTCAATCTGCCTACCCACAGATGTTCACTTGCCCTCCTCTCTCCCCAATATTATTAGTAGCCCACTTGAAGCTTGCCCACTTTCTTCCAGGCAGCACAGTGTAAATACAACCTCGTTGGTGCTGCAGCGAGCTGGTGGCGCCCAGGAACCCTTCACATGCCAGTGTGTCAGCCTCATAACCTACATAATATCCCTCCCTCATTCCACATGCACGTGCATTTCTGGCTGCGTTGCCACCCCCCCTCCCCCCCGTTGTCGTCGTTTCTCATCAAGAGGATTAAATATGTGGAAGATATTCCTCGACTCAGGATGTTTATTAGTGGTTGTCTCATCATCAGCTCATGTGCCTAAAAGCCTTCATATGGCATCATAAATTGATAGCGTGTTGTAAATGGATAGTACATTAATCACAAATTGTTTGATACTCATTGTTTTTCTACTGATTATTATTTTACTGCTTAATATGATTTTCTAATGTCATCTGTTTTATTAATCAGTTTTTTAGAAGTTTATCAGTTTGTTGACCTAAACCACAAGTGGTCTGAGCTATGCATATTAAAATTACATGAGAACTTTGAAGTACTAGGAAAAATGTCAGTGATCAGAATTTGACAGAATAAGGCAGGTCATAAAACTAGGGCTTAAGGTCGTATGGAGGAAGCTTCTAATTTTACTATTTCTAGTCTTACTAGAGACGCACTGGTGGTGCAGTGGTTAAGAGCTATGGCTGCTAACCAGAAGGTCAGCCGTTCAAACCCACCAGCCACTCCTCAGGAGAACGATGTGGCAGTCTGCTTCTGCAAGGATTACAGCCTTGTATACCTTATGGGGCAATTCTACTCTGTCCTATAGGGTTGCTTTGAGTTGAAGTGGACTCAATCACAATCGGTTTGATTTTGGTTAGTCTTTCTAGATTTAGTGCTGTGGATCAGAGGTGGTGTCCAAAATTTTTATTATTTATATATTGAAGTTGTGGAATTTTCTGACTCTTTATATTTACACATATGGTACAATTTTATGCCCTTGAATACGTATTGTTTTACCATTTCAATTAATTGTCCTTTGTTATGAAGGTAATTGTAATTCACTTTTTGAATAGCTACTCTTATTTCAGTTGGGATCTTTTAAACAGAAAGGTAGATTATGAGCCTGTATAGTACGGTTTCCATATTCTGTTGGATCACCTTTCTTTGGAATGAGCATGTATATGGATCTCTTCTGTTCAGTTGGCCAGGTAGCTGCCTTCCATATTTCTTGGCACAGACAAGTGAGTACTTCTAACGTTGCATCCATTTGTTGAAACATCTCAATTTGTATTCCATCAGTTCCTGGAGCCTTGTTTTTTGCCAGTGCCTTCAGTGCAAATTTGACTTCTTTAATACCATTGGTTCTTGATCATATGCTCCTTTCTGAAATGGTAGAACGTCAACCAATTCTTTTTGGTACAGTGCCTCTGTATTTCTTGATACTTCCTTCATCATTCAATATTTTGCCCATGGAATCCTTCAATATTACAATTCAAGGGTTGAATTTTTCCTTCAGTTCCTTCAACTTGAGAAATGCCAAGTATGTTCTTCCTT